ATTCCTCAGGAACAAACGAGCCCTTCAGTGCGAGTGTTTGCCAATAAATAAGGAGTGGTAAATCCTGCTAACACACCACAGTACAGCGCTGAACGCCGCTTCGCTCTGCTGCTGCGTTTGCCGGAGTAACGCAGGGTAAAGTGCTCTGAACACAAAACCTTCTCTAAAGGCCTCTCTGATGCAGTGTATTACTGGGAGTTTATAGACCATCACTGACACACAACCACCACAAAACCAGCATTAATTAAACACTCCATTAACAATGATAATAAACAAACATGATTAGACAATATTTTAATAATCTGAGACTACCACATCAACCAAAACATCTCGTCAATTAATCATAACCAAGTTGCATCGAATTTTAAGCTTGCTAATATGTCATTTTGCTGTTATTCAATGTGACCCTGGACCCAAAGGGTCAAAAATAAGCTTTCCATTGATGTATAGTTTGTTAGGATAGGACAATATTTGGCTGAGATACAACTATTTGAAAATCTGGAATCTGAGGGTGCAAAAAAATCTAAATATTGAGAAAATCATATTTAAAGTTGTCCAAATGAAGTTCTTAGCAATGCATATTACTAATCAAAAATTAAGTTTTGATATATTTACGGTAGGACATTTACTAAATATCTTCACGGAACATGATCTTTACTTAATATCCTAATGATTTTTGGCATAAAAGAAAAATTTATAATTTTGACCCATACAATGTATTATTGGCTATTGCTACAAATATACCCCAGCGACTTAAGACTGCTTTTGTGCTGCAGGCTCACATATTGCATTAAGCAAATATAATCTCTTTATAGCATCAGACAAGCTCTAAATACTACAAACTTCATAATAAACTGCACTACTGTTTAAATGTTTGCAGTCAATAAGATTTGTTAAGAAATTGGATGCATTAAATTGATCAAAAGTCTCAGTAAAGACATAATGTGACAAAAGATTTCTATTTCAAATAAATGCTGTTCTTTTGAACTTTCTATTCATCTGTGAATCCTGAAAAATAAAATGTATGACGGTTTCCACAGAAATATTGTGCAGCACAACTGTTTTCAACATTGATAATAATCAGAAATGTTTCTTGAGCAGCAAATCAGCATATTAGAATGATTTCTGAAGATCATGTGACACTGAAGACTGGAGTAATGATGCTGAAAATACAGCTGCGCATCACAGAAATACATTACAGTTTAACAGATATTCACATAGAAAACACCCATTTTAAATTCTAATAATATTTCACTGTTTTTACTGTATTTTTGATCAAAGAAATGCAGCCTTGGTGAACAGAAGAGACTTCTTTCAGAAACATTTTACTGACCCCAAACTTTTAAACATTAGCACATATAGAAAAGATCATGTAGATAATGATGAAGCACTGGTTTAACGTGTGACATCATCAACCAGATCACACACAACCGCTCTGTCAGACAGTGGCCTGTTCACCGCTGGGTCCTTGAGGGCCCACGGCCGATATTGACACCGCCTGTAGTTCAACCTGTGTTTATCTCTGCGCTCTGTTCACCTGGTTACCATGGCAACCAGCCCATCATGCGCCCAGCGGCGTGAAGAGGCTCGATTTCACCTCCGCAACCCGACATTAGCACGACAAACAGCCCCAAACTACAGCACAGAGACAGCCACTCCACCGAGATACCAGAATGTGTTCATACTCGCAGATCACATGACCTCCAGCCTCTGCGCTCCCATTGGCTGTTGTCACGTCACATCATTTGCATAAAGCTGAATTCTGCTCGACTGTAACATTGTGAAAACTGCGGCTCATGATGCTGAATGATTTCTGCCTACAAACTGCTGTCAGTATCGACACTTAATACTGATAATACAAATCTACACTGTTTGGAAAAATATTTAGGCCTAAATTTAAGATTTATGCATTTAAATTGCATATCAAATTTACATGCATTTGGATTACACAGTTTTAATAAACTAGCATAATGTGATCACATTTGTGAGTCATACACCAATGAAACAGGTCAGATTTCTAAATAAATAAATAAATACATGAATAAATAAAAATCATGCCATAGTTTATTAACTATTTGCATCTATTTGACTGAATTGAAATAATCCCATTTTAAAATGCATTTATTCAATGTGTTCATTATGAAAACTACTTTTTTTCAGTTATAAAGTATAAATGTGGTGAAATATGACTAGCTGTGCAACAAACAATATTCGGTTAATTAAATTAAATTGAAACAAACTGAGTTCTTTATGATAAATAAATAAAGTTGCTTATTGTGCATTTAAAACACATTGAGTTTATTAACACTATTACAGAAATCTGACCTGTTTCATTGATGCATGACTGACAAATATGATCACATTAAGTTTATTAGTTTATGTTAAAACTCTCTAATCGAAATGCATGGAAGTTTTACATGCAATTCAAATACATTAAGTCTGAATATGTTTTTGAGTGTATACAAAAATGCAATGTTCACACAATGCCACATTCTTTAAGTAAAATCAAGCATAAGGGATGCAAAGACAGATGAATTACTTCTTGGAAACCGATTGAATAGGAACAAATAAACAATCATTAGGATATTAAGTAGGGATGCACGATATTATCGGACTGATATCGGAATCGGCCGATAATGGCTTTAAATCTAAATATCGGCATCGGCTCAATATGAAAAATTATGCCGATATGTCTTGCTGATAAGAGGAATGCATTAGCTCACATGTGCTCAGGGTGTGCTAGCGATTAGATCACGTCAGCAGTGTGGCTCATTCTTGAAGCAAGGTTTTGTCTGAATGATGCATTAGATTGACTGTTTGGATAGCTGCATTTAATCTGTGAAACCA